CCCAATAGTTTCTACCTGTCTAATTTGGTCCAGGACATTGGGGATGCTACAGATCCCATCAGCCAATGTCAGGTTCAGCCCAAGAACAACAGTGAGACAGTCCAGAACAGTTTAGCTCCTTTATTAGTTTATACCTAATAGACAGAATCTCGCCAGACTAACTCTGTACCACAACAACAGTAACTATAACCATGAGTCTTTGGTGTTGCTTCCATCAGCCTCCTGGATTTTTCCTCTTCCTTCTACTCTGTGTAAATGTGTTTTTTTATAAATTTTAACTATGCATTTATTTATTGTTTTAATCTATTGTAAGCTGCCCAGAGTCCCCCATTGGAGAGAGATGGGTGGGGATAAGTTTGATAAATAAATAAATACGCAAATATGCATGAAGGAGGAACACACTGTATCAGGAAGGTACATCTGGACAATTCTGAATGCAACCTGACTTTGTGTAAATGCTCTTTTTTCCAGAAAACCAAGAGAATAAATGGTGTTTGAGCTGGAAGGAAACTGTTCATTCCATTACAGATTCTGATCGACTGTGCTTTATTTAGCATTTCAGAACCACTTGAGATATCGTTATCATAATTCACACATAATGGTAGGGTTGATCAAATAGCACCATCTTCTAAATATCTATTTGCTAGGTAGGACTAAGTTCATGTCCAGATTTTGGCAGATATTTTTGTGGTATGTAATGGATTATCTAGTGCATCAGCGAAATAGGAATGACATAGTTGGATTTTAAAAAATGCTTTTCAGTCATTAAGTATTATTCTAAATATTTATAGAAATACAGGTAGTCCTCTCTTAAAGGTCATTTGTTTAGTGACCATCTGAAGTTATGACTTACAACCAGTCCTTGCACTTATGACCATCGCAGCATCCCCTTGGTCTCATGATCACGATCCAGACGCTTGGCAACCAGCCCACACTTACAACAGTTGCAGCATCCCGTGGTCACATGATCGCCATTTGCTATCTTCCCAGCCAGTTTCCGGCAAACCAAATCAATGGGGAATCGCAAGATTCACTTCTCAACCACTGCAAAAAATCAGGTGCGGCCACGTGATGCTTCACTTAATGACCACCTCACTTAATGATGAATTTTTCAGTCTCTATTGTGGTTCTTAAGTGAGGACTGCCTTTAGATCTACAATATCTAGGCTCCATTCATCTAAATAGACACAAGGTAGCAGCAAAGAGATACAGACATCTGTTTGGGGATGCTCAGCATACAGCCCAGATATGGTAGGTGCATGTAAACAAAACATTTCCAGATGATAATTCATGGCTAAAAGCCAGCAAGCAAAGAAATGCATAGACTGGAAATAGCAGGGAATGCCTTGAATACACTTTGGCACTCTGGATCTGTTCTAGAATTACCAGATGGCTGAAGCATTCTGCAATGCTTCTTGAGAAATCCTACAGTCCTAGAACAGCTGCAGAACAACAGGGTGGAGAGTTTTGCTCTAAAAAAAGGGTTTTGCCTCTTTCTTGAGACTGAGCCATTGTCAAATGTCTTTCCTTAACCACAGGAGGATCTTAGCAGCTGATTTAGTGTCGTGACCCAATTATTCAGTATTGCTTTCTTCAACTTCCTTTTTAGGTTTCAGGACTACCAAAATGGAAGCCACCCACAACCCCCAGTTTCCATAAGAATATTGCATGGGAACTATTTTCCAACTGCAGAAAGAATACAAATGGAAAAGGTGATCACTGTCTGTCCTCCATGAAGCTTTCTTGGAGCTAAGTCTTTGGAAACAAGCTCTCAAGTTCTGGGAAAAGACAGTGGCTAAAGGTTTCTGCTGCCCAGGCACGGTTAAGAGGTCCAAATCTGGAGTTCCTCAGTGGAGCAAACTTCATCACGTTATCATCACTTTTC